ATGCTGAATCACACGTTGGGGGAAGGGGACAAATGAGGAAATTCAACATGAATCCCTCTCAATGGTGTCATTCACAGAGCCACGGAGCAGAGCGCACTGTCCATCAGCGACACAGTTCCCACACTCCGTGCTGTAGGAAGAGAATGACACAGAGCTAGGGAGGGCTGAAGAAGAGAGAACAAGAGAGGATAAAAGTTACACACTGTAAGGGATTCAAAGCTTCAATATCTCAGTGTAGCTCTATAGTTACTGCTCATGGTCCCTTCAAAGGCTGCTGTCATTTCAATGTCTTGATCCACTTAACACAGGTTGGCAGAACAATGCTGCTGTTAAAATAGACTGAAATTATTCTGGACCAAATCATAAGCGATGGAGTATCTTTAGATCGTGTATTTTTAAAAATAATGATGCTTTCTAATAAGCAATTCGATCTGGTTTGGCTCAAGCTGTCATGATATCTGCCTATTTTTTTTTTCAGGCCTAAAACATAACAGAGAGTCGTTATGACAGTTGTTCAAAATTTAAAGATATTTCATTGGGCAAGTTGGTCAATGACAGAGTGCTTGTGGGAAACTCTAAGTTCAAGCCCCAATCCCCCAGCCCTGGAGGAGAGAGAGGAAGAGGAGAGAGGAAAAGGAGGGAAGGTTCAGGAGAGAGGAAGAGATTGAACCTGCACAGGAGCAATGAAGGAAGAGGAAGAAGTGACTGAACGCTTCTCTAAAGCAACCGATTAGCTTTAGGTATCAGGGAGATTTACATTTTGAAATCTGGGGGAGATTTCTGAGAGCACGAAGAGCAAGTTAACAGCATAACCAAACTCTCACTAAAATAGTAAAACTTAGAAGAATCTCACTTGGCTTCACCCAAACCAGCCAAGAGTCAGTCCACTCAGTAAGCAAGACTCACCCCTAGGGAGCAGAGTAGAGGAGTGTTCTCTGCTGACTTCCTAGTCTAACCCAAGGGCTAGGGCAAGGTTTACTTCCATAACCAGCCTGTACTGTACTCCCTCTACCTGCTCCTCCCTAGCCCGGAGCAAAGTCAAGGTAGACGGGCAATGTTCCAGAAGGGCTCTAGGAACAGACAGACCTAAGGCTTTCCAGGAAGTGGAGTGTTTGTTTTGGCCGGAGGATTCTGCAGAGAGCAGAGAAATGGCCCAGATAAAGAGATGGCATATATGGACAGGAAGGAAGGCTACCCTGCCAGCTGCCCGGCTCAGACAGGGACATGAAAATAATGAGACCCATACTGTCAGAATTCATATTGATTACTAAGACCCTTTCTCTTGGCAGTTCTTTATACAATTTTGTCTGGCTAAAGAAGGAAAATTCTTTAGTTTTTGCTGTTACAGGTATGGTACAGTCTTCATGGGACTGAATGCTGTGTCCATCCCTTGATGGCTCCCTCCAACATTTATGATTCATATTCCATGGAAAATATTGAGAAATATTCCATCAGAAATGAACCTGCTTTCACAGCATATTGAATGTTTCCTGTGTTTTTCTTCCTTCGTTATCACCAAGGACATTCTCATAAAAACAAATTTTTTTTTTTCCCCAAAGCAACCATATTCTTCAACATTAATCTGCTCTCAATTTTCAAGGTACTGTCTAATGACATCATACTGAATTCTGGGGTCTTTTTCAGTGACTCCATTATGATGCACAGAGAAAGTCATGCAGCAAATCAATTAAAATGTAAACAAAAGGGCTGACCTCAATATGATTTCAAAGTTTCCAGAAAGGGGCAGCAAACAACTTCAATCTTTCATCACTAGTAAGCACAGAGAGAGGTCAATGCTCCATCCCAGAATCCATACTGAGAGGCCAAGCATGGTAGTGCGTACTTGCAATCCTGGGAGGAGAGACTGGAAATGCCTGGGGCTCTCTGGAAATACAGCCTAGCCTACTAGGCAAGCCCCAGGACAACAAGGTGAAGAGCCCCTGCAGAATGGCACCCGAGCTTGTCTCATCACCTCTGTGGTCACACCACAGTTACACACATCACCACACACACACATACACAGCCACAAGTACCCACAGGCATCACCACACGAACATGCAAACATACAAGCACACACACACACTCACAGGTGAAGTGTCCCAGTACTCCACTACTAAACCCCTCCTTTCTCAGTACTGAACGACAGAAGTGTCAACTTGGAGGCTAAGTCTAATCATGACAAGGGGGCGAAAAAAGAGCTCAAGCTCTAAACCAATTTTTGCTTTATATCATCTGCTTCTCCCGAACCAATAGGTGCATCACAGTTTCACTAGCAAGGTGACAGTCTTCAGCTCTGCAAAGTGGCTCTGCCCCATCCTGCCCCAAGTATACTCCTGGATAACTCTTATAACATGCCTGACAGAAAACCATAGTCAGGTGGCAGAGTCAGCTTCACCGGGAATGAAAAGTGGTTTTCGCCTCTTTCAGAATGTGAGCGCTCGCCATTGGCCTCAGCTTCCTCATGGGTTTGTCATACTCACTAATGGAGAATGTACACAGTACAGCCCAAGAATAGAATAAATATCACAGTGACAGGGATGAAATCAAAGCCATAACACCCTGTGCCAGAAGCGGTGATGGACAGCCGGTCCCCACAGCCCACAAGACTACTCCACACAGCTGGGTGGCACTTGGGTGGAAGCTGTGGAAGTTGATGCCTGGGTGCATGCCTGACCGTGCCTTCACTCTAGACATGGGAGCAAGGCTTTGAGTTCCACCTGCCGGCAACTGCCCTTCCATGTTCCTACAGTCACCCAGCTGCCCTGCCGTCCCCCAAACCCCAGCACACAGCATGGGTCCCTGCCCTGTCTTTCTCATTTTGTATAATGGCAATTCAATTAACTGGGCCAGGGACCACCATGCCCCAAATGCAGATAACAGTAGAGTCTGGGGCTCCAGAAAAGAACAAAGACTAGGAAGGCTGAGGCAGCCAAAGGTAAACAGACTCCATCCTTCTGCTTTAGGCAGAGACATTTTTAAATCACTGGGAGGGTGTTAGTATCACTTATCGCCAAGAATCATCATGAATAAACACAAAGGTCCCTTTGTGTACGGAGTAACATATTTGCAGCACAGCCCTTGGAGTGCACCAGTTACAGACATGGACTCACTCTTTCAGGAAAAGGTCGACTCCATGAATATGTATGTACATGTCTGTGCACAAACACTGCACAGACATATTCCTATTCATGCACATTCCTCTGAAATAAACTGCAAGGATCTATGTTCGTCTATACAGCAATTTGCTGTCAGAGATCCTATCTTACGTTCTCAGTGGTGGGGTGGACACAGATGATCTGAAGCTTCACGGGGCAACAGTGCCACCATAGCCAGACACTCAACTGCTGTACTGTTTGCTTGAGATGTCACTGTAGCCCAGGCTGGCCTCGAATTCTTACTCACTATGTAATTGGGGATAACCGTGTAAATCCAGACTGTCCTGACTCCACGTCCCAACTGCAGGAATTCTAAACTGCTTTCTTCCTGAACTGAAACCCCCTGAGCTTCAATCTACAGAAACAAGTTTTCATAGATCATCTAGCGTGATGTCCGCAAGAGACAGGCTTCGAGGTTTATAACCACAGACAATGTCCACTTATGATGGAATGCTAGGCAGAGAGAAGATACCCCACACTGTTTCAGAATGTTTATCTCTCTCTTCCTTGACCTCAAGTTTCATCCTGCTTTTTGTCAATGAAGACTAAGTCTGTAATACTAAAAATAATTCCAATGGCAGTAGCTAGAAAAATACAGTCAGAAAAAAAAAAAGATTTATACAATCATTAAATTATTCTAGTTTAACTCCAATTAAAATTCATTAGGCTTAAATCTCTAACATATGCTCATTTTTAAGTTGTAAATTATTGTTCTTACAGATCCAAGGAAGTCTTGAATGATGAAGCAGTCTGCTGTTTTCTCAACAATGAAATAGAAAAGGCAACAGTTTCTAGGAAGCCCCTTACAGTAAAGCAGAAAGAACACACATTCCCTCACCAGATATGGGCTGGTGAACATGTCCAGGTGTTATAAATAAGTCTTCTGATTAGATTCCAGTCTAATCCATAGCCTAACACTGACCTCGATTACATCACACTTTGCTCTGCCCCACAGTGCCAATCCCTAAGAAGAAGAGCTATCCCTTCCAACACGACAATGTTTACAGACCCACCCGGTGTGGGTCTGACGTCATTATTGCACACAGACCTCCACATGGGCAGGTGCGCCTGAGATCTCTCCAGAGGATACCATGCAGAAACACTATGGAGGACCACCTTACCATGCCAGGCAGGAACCAGGGGAGGTCCTAGCCACGGTGCTTTATAACCTGTAGCCACAGCAGCTCACTCCCACTTGGAGCTTGTTAAGGGTCAAGGATCTGTATCCTGAGTAGAGTGCACTATGGTAAGCCTGGGAGCAGCATGCGGGAAGGGCATGAAACATCAGTGGTAAGCACTGCTTGGCAGCTGCTTTCTGTATTCATGACCTTGAGTCTCCTTCTGCAGTGGCTGGGAGGAGCACCCCTCTGACTCCCTCTTACCTTGAAGGCAGTCAGTCTCATGAAGCCAGCTGCCACGAGGGTTCATTACCACATGTCTGCACAGAGATACCCACTTAACAAAGAAGTGGTAGACATTTTAGTAGCCCTCCAAAACTAAATGTCACCGACAACCATCTGAGTGTGCCTGGACGTAGAACTCGAACTGTGAGAGGACTGGGACACAGCTAAGCCACTCCCTGGTCCACAGAAACAGAGGTAACAAATGTGCTGTAACAAGCCACTCAGCAATAAGTAATTAGCAGGTATCCAACACATAACACTACTGAAATTATCATGTGGAGAGAACCACCATATATACTTGAGACCATATGACAGGAAAATAAAGAGGAGATATATTTGCTTCTAGAAGATCATACAGAGGAAAAAAAAAAAAAAAACCTTACTTCCCTTTTGATGAAGAGGAAATCCTTTAATTAGAATGTTTCTCAAGAAACTTCCTTACCTTGGATGCACTGCAGTGTCCCATCCTCGGCTCTTATGGTAAAGGTCTCACCTGGGTTAACTTGGACAAGAATAACCTGTGAAAACAATGGAGACTTCCAGTTAAACCAATGCCCTGGGTACCCTGCCTCATTTCCAATCCAAGGTTCTGTACTGGGCAGAAAGCACATGACACCGAATCTTGTGTTAGCCTAAAGTTTAGGGTATAAATCTTAACCCTCCCCAAATTTTAGGAACTACAGGAATACACCAAGTGTATTGCTGTATATTGTTTATTTTATATAACTTAAAAATTCAATTATACTACACTTTTTTTTGAAAACACAATTTCCTTTTCTCTTTCATGAGTTTAGACACAAACTTAAATTAGAAAAACAATACATAAAAAGAGCTTTACAAAGAAAAGCTGCACAATAAATAAATGTTTGACCTACCACTATTGGGAGATGCGACTGTATTAAATAACAATAGAAGGCAATTTATGCAATTAAACAGGTTAGAGAAGAACAACTGCAGGCAAACCCTTAAAGTAATAATAAAGAGCATAAAATAAACGAACCTCAGCAAACTCTCAAACGTTTCAGTATATAGCCTAGAATTAGTGGGTTGTTTTTTTCACACAGACACAGATATTTCACATTAAGATAACTTTCAAAACACAAGAGGGCAGGTAGCTCGAGTGAAGCATGCTTGCTTGGAAAGATTCACAGAATTACTTCTAATCAAAGGGCAGCAAAAGGAAAAAGCACTGATTTAAAACTGAAAACGTAAGTGTAGCTGCGTGTCAGTGGGGATAAGATCAGCGATGGTAGATACCTTCACCTATCCTGTCTGTAGACACAGACAAGATGCTGCTCTCATGCTTCCCCAGCTCCTCAGGGCACCTACTCTATCACACGGAAACCTTCAAGCAGACTGGACCTTCTTCCTTGAGATCTGTCCCTACACCCCCAGAGCACTGCCTCCCTTAATAGCTTGCACCTACTCTTATTTGTAGAACTTACAACTGCAATTAATTAATCACATCAATAATTGTTTTAAGTGGTTGTTTCCTTCTTTAACTGAGCTGCCATTAGGATAAGATCTGACTATCTAGCCCCATGCCCCATGCTCTTACTGATGGCAGGAAAACTGACTCACAAGATTATTTAAGCTTTAGAATTAAGATTTCATAAGACTGGATACTGGAGAGACGCCTCAGTGTTTAAGACACCTTACTGCTCTTGCTGAGGACCTCAGTTCAGTTCCCAGCACCCACATGGTGGTTCATAAGCCCCTGCAGCTCCAGTTCCAGGCGACCCAACACATCTTTTCTAGCCACTGCAGACATAGGTGGCACAACATACTCACGTAGAATTGCACACATATACATAAGTTAAAAAATAAAATTAAAAAAAAAATTTAAAGGCTCCCCTGAGGTGTAATTTAAATATCAACTTCTCTTATATACCACAGCTTATCTGCTTTGTAACACTATTCAGATCAAAGGCGTGTCATTTATAGTATAAAACTTTAACATCCACATATTTTGTCCAATGAGTAACTCACAGCAGGAGATGCTGCTGAGGCATGGATTCCTTTTAATTATGAAATACATTAACTGTAAAATCACCAGGATCATTCAGGGAAAAGCAGCCTAAGCCTCATCTCAGATGCTTCACATTATTCTGAAGGATAAACTGTTTCAAGACAATTTGCTTTCCCCCCACAATAACTGCATGCATAATCTTTCGGGCTTCCCCATCACAGTACTCACCAATGTGAAGCCAGTTTGCCACTTTAAGAACTCAAAAGGAAATCCTTTAGATCTCCAGGGGGATTAAAGCATCTCCAACCCTTCTGCCAGCCGGAGGCTTTAGTCATCCTTTCATAACACGGAAACTGTCTGAGTCAGCTTTGTTTTTACATAAACATACATCACAGCTCTATTACACTACACCCAGGAAAACAGCGCTTTAATAGAGGGAGGAAAATGAAGCAAAGGGGGGAGGGGCAACAAAATACAAGCAATATGAAGGTGAAAGGAGGAATAGTAGAGGTGAGGTTTAAGTGGAAAGAGGAATGGGAAAGTAGAACAATAGAGAGATGAAAGGATATAGTAAGGATTTTAAAGAAATCTAGTACTTTTATTAGCTTCCTAAAATTTTTTTTTTTCATATAAAAGAGTTTAACTGGAGTTCCCCTACACAGGGGATAATGTTTGCCCAGAAGCGTAGGTTGGCAAAAAAAAAAAAAAAAAAAAAAAAAAAGACTCAGAGTCAGGTGTGGGATATCACCCCTGGAGCTGCTGGTTAGACCCCCTCCCTCCCAGATTCATATGAACTATTGCCGTTGCTCTTGGTTGCCAACTAGATAGATAAGACCCTATTGCTGAAGACAACACAAACTTTGGTCGCGGGGCACAGAGAAATCCAGCTGGTACTAACTCAAAAGCTTCTTCCCTACTGGTGAACTTTCAAAGTGCCATAAGATGCAATCAGCATAAGCTGCTAGAGAAGAAAGGGCATCGCCAGTCTTACTCAGGCATGGGCCCTGTGAATTACAATAATGACCAGCGTGACAAGACAGATAAGCAATAGTCGTACAAATGTCCTTAGGATAACTAATCACTTTCTAATTTGTCATTTGTTTTTTTTGCCTGGGACTTCCCATAATACTGCTGAGTTGTATTCTCAGGGCCAGGGCTGAAAATTGTGTAGGAGAAGAGAGTACATAAATTTGGGGTTGTCAAAGACAACCAAGAACAGAGTCTGGGTGTCCGCTGACTTCTTTCCCTGCCCTAACTCTACAGGCATACATTATAAGCTTATGCTGAGAGGTTTAAACATAAAGCAGGTTGTGTCGATTCCATCATAATGATGCTAGAATTTGTCTAAGGACTCATAAAAATGCAATTTCCTTTTAAAAAATACAATGACTTTTATTTTTTGAGACTTTTATACATGTATACAATATATTTGATCACAGTCACTCCTCACTAACTCCTCCCAGACTCGCTGTCTACTTTCTGTCCTCCCCCGACAGGAACACACTGAGTTTAACTTGTTGCCCAAATACTCATGGGTACCATCCATCCATGATGAGCTTGGTCATCATAGAGAAGCCACTGACTCTCTCCATCCTCCATCTCACTGCCATCAGCTCCCACTAGTTCCTCAAGCAGAGGGGCAAGGTGAGCCTCTCATCTTTCTAGGCTAGAATGCTCACTGGCTTGACTGTGTGCAGACATCCACAGCTGCTCTGAGTACATGTGCGTAGTTCCGTCACGACCAGAACACACTGTTTCAGTCCAGCCTCCCTGACCTGTGGCCCTGAGAATCTTTCTGTACCATCTTCTGTGATGGTCCCCATGCCTTGGGGAAAAGGGAGTGTGATGCATGTCCCATTTATGGCTGAGCACTCCACAGAGACTTCTATATACTAAACAGTTGTGAGTTTATTTACCAGCATCCGCTGCACATAAAGACTTCTCTGATGAGGTCTGCACATTAAGCAGTAACGATAAAAATTTAGAGGGAATTTCAATACTATGTCCATTTAGCAAAATATATTAGCAGACTCTCCCCTGGGAAGCCTCTCAGCTAAGGATACTTGGTCGGATTTATAGTATCAGCGTGTGTTTCTTCTCATGGAGTAAGCCTTACTCCTCTTTGACAACTCCAGATTCATATACTGTGTTCTCCCACACAGTTGTCAGCAATGGCCCTAAAAATACCACACAGCAATATTACGGAAAGTCCCAGACAAGAAAAAGGATTTCTGAATTGATGTCACATATTCTGCCTACCACGCTGTGACAGTCTTCTGTGGTCACTGACAGCAGGCCACAATTCAAAGCATGGCTAGAAGCATCCGCTTCCTCCGAAGAATATGTGTAAAGTGCATGTGTGTTGCACACTCTCTCTCTCCCCTCCTTCCCTCTCTATCCTACACACACACATACATACATACACACACAGCAGCTTACAGAATTCAGTTCCTAATCCCTGCCACCTCACTTCTTCAAGGAGAAAGATGACAGATAAATGGCTTTTAGGCGTCTTACCTCTCATCAAATGTTTCGTTCATGTAATTTTCACTAATGCTAGGTTGCTATGGCAATCAGATTGTAATCTAGCCAGCTACCTTAGATATAAGGCAAAGTTTGTGCCTCCTAATACCAATCTCTCTTCTCACAAGAGCGAAAGTCACAAGTGGAACGAGCTGTATTGAACTTGGTGTTGGGTATTTTTAGGAGAAAGCATTCTATTTTACTGGGAGAGACTGACCACTGTGCCGCTGTCACTATCAATGACAGAGATAAAAATAAAGCTTCGACATAGCAGCCCAATGGCCTGTCCTGACAACAGGCATGAATGAGCCACCAGCACCAGGCCTTGCATCACACAGCCTAGAGGAGCGTGAGTCACATCCTGGCAGACGAAGGGCACTGAACCTTCTGTGCCAGGGGAGTCAGTTCTCTTCTGCTTCACCCTCTCTCTCTTCCCATAGCTATCCTCCCCCCCCCCCGACATAGCTGCTATGAGTTCCCTTTAGGATACTGTGTTCCATTTAGAAAAATACAGTAGTAGATCATTCGTGCTGAGCCTCTCAGCTTCATCATTTTCTGTTCATTCACTGGCCATGTTCTGCTTTTCAAAGTCAGCATTAAACAAAGTCACACTGTGCTGTCTCTTGTCAAACTGGAAAAAAAGAAGGATCACAGATTTTTCTTTCCAAGTGATACTGACACAGAACCAAGCTGCCAAAGAAGGAAGCATGCCTGCTTCCAACCTCAGGCTAGATTGCTTCATCAGATCTGTTCCAACAGCAAATGCCACCCGAGCCACAAAGTCTGAAATAAGCATGAGGCAGGTGAGCAAGGCGAGATGAACAGAACTGACCACTCTTCCTAATGCGAAGAAAGCAAAACAAGATTTAGAATACAACTGAGCAAAAAGTTAAATGCAGCAGCACTCTAGAAATAAATGCTCCACCCAAGGACCAGGCTTGGAGCAAGAAATTGTAAGTCCTGCTCTAGTGAGGTGGAGTCAAGTGCACACCTCATGCCTGCTGGTTAGCCAGCCCGCCAATCAGA